AAAATGCCAGAAATACTTGCAGGTCAGACAGCATTTGTGTAACAGAAAAATGCAGTGAATGTTTCAGATGGATGATCAGAATTGGAATTTTTTTAATGTGAAACAGGTGAAAGAGCTGAGAAAGCTGGGAAGGATGTGTAATGGAGAGGAGATTATGTCTGTAATATAGTGTAAGGTAGAAGTAATGAAATGACAAAAGGGGTGATTATGTGAGGCAATGGGGGATGGTAACGTGACAAGTAAAGAAATTTTTAAAAATCCCAAAGGTGTAAATGTAGAAACTAAATTTATCACTAACTGCTGCTTTAGTGAAGGTATAAATGGAAAAGTGACTTGTTTTTGCTTTGTTCAATCTCCTCCCCCGTACATCCATGCCTCTTCCAATATTTTTTCATAATTTTAACAGTTTCCAATTTCCTAGCCCTCACTATTTCTTTTTCACCATGTATGTCCAATCTCTCTACATCATTCGACTTCATCAGGATAGTCTGAGGACACTGCCTCTTCCTTGAACAAAAGTCCAACCAGCCTCAACTGTACTTTTCTGCTTGCCTGAACTTGTTCTCACACTTAAACAGTTGGTTATTCATAACTGGACCAAAACTCCTCTTGCCTTTCCAAGAGCAAGCATTTTGTTTGTTGTTTCTTTGACTGGCTGAATACAAAGTGAGAAAGTTTACAACTAGCTACCAATGGATACAGAATCCTAGTGAGGACTATCCCTATTGCAGCTTATGGGTCATATGAAGCTATGGTTTCTGACAATTGGTTTTCAAATCCCATGTAATTTGGTTCTACATGTGCTTAGACTTGACACTATGAATTTTGCAGGTGCAAATAGATGGAATGGTCCAGTTTTACTCCCTATTTGATCCTTCTTTTCTCAACCAGAACACCAATATCTTTTGGTATCAGCAACTTAAATTCACGAATATGAAATAAAGGTGTTTCTAACATAATCATTCTTTGATTGTAGGGAACATCTATTACCTCAACTCTCGCTGACCTGAGAAAGTTATGGTCACATTCTTAGATCACTGCAGAACATTTTTTTGGTAGCTTATTGTCGCAATTAAGAGCCTTGTGGATGACTTCAATAGCAATTAAGAGCCACACATCAATGTGAGATTGGTGAACCACAGAGATTGGATAATGATGTAGATATTAACTATTTTTAACATTTCTCTTTCATATTTGGTGAATTGGTTTCTGCTATGTTTGTATTTCTTTCTATTCATTGATGAGTGTGTCATGGCATAAATGTGGCCAACTAGTATTATGAATGCACGGGATCATATATTCATATCAAAGGCTATCGCTCAATTCAAAAATGACATCTACTCAGAATTTTGAGATTTTGCTGTGGATCTTCATGTAACTGAATAGATTGATTCCTGAACCAAAAATCACAAGATAGCAGTGTCTCAAATGCAGGATTTGCTTCCTCTTCTTTCATTCTCAGCTGCTGCCCTGCCTCATCTCTAAAGCAATTGGACTTGAAGTGTAATGCAGCTCGATAGACAGGTTGTCGCCATTTTGAATGATTCCTTGGCACAGTCTTGTTTGACACTAGTCTGGAATATGAAGGATCTGTTTCAGATTCCCCATTGAAGATTGCAGTCATATCATTATAAAGCACTTGCATGGTTGTGATGAATTTTCTTGGACACCCAAATCTCTGCAGAACAGTCTGCAGAGACTGGAGATTTATCAAATGCTTTGGACAACTCAATAAGTGCCATGAAGTGTTTATTGCCTTGTTTTCAACTATTTTCTTGGATTTGCCCAGCAACATAGGTCATAACAGAGGTTCCTCTGAAAGGTTTAAAGCCACATCTTTATCTTTTGCAGGATTTCCTCAGCCATAGAAAGTAGAATCCATGTCAAAATTTTCCTTATTTTATGGGTAGCAGGGATATGCCTTAATACTTTTGATGGCATGGTTTCTCTCCAAATTTGATGATACTCATAATTAACATAATTCTGAAGTTGAGGATAATTATTTTTTTCTTCCAAATCCATAGAATTGAGTGCGTGGAATTTTGATATAAACACCATCTTTGAAGATTGCAGCTAGAAAATCATTAGGGCTGGAGGCTTTGTTGTGTTCCATCTGTTTGATTGCTTGTGGCAGGTCCCCTATCTATGGTGGTTCGCCTGTAGATTCTACCACAGGATAATGAGGCACAATGTGAATAGTAACAACTGTCACTGTGAATTCACAGTGGAGAAATTGTTGGAATATTTTTCTAGCATTGTCAGCCTTAAGTAGGGAGACACGATTCTGCAAACAAAGTGGATTTATCCATTTGGCCTTTGTCTCTAAATGCCCTGCAGCTTCAAAAAAGCTTTACACATTGTAGTGGTCAGTATACTGTTGGAATTCTCAGACCGTCTCTTTGTACCATTTGTTTTTTTCATATTCTAGATTAGTCTTTGGCCTTCAGCTTTGAGGGATTGGAATGCTGCCTTCTTGAATTGCAACATTGGTTTGTCTCACAGGCAAAAAAGGCTGCTTGCTTCTCTTTCAGGCAGTCACACATCTCTGCATCATTTTTATCAAACAAGTCTTGGTGCAAGCAACGTTCAAACTTAATGATCTGGACACATATCCAGTACAACTCACTTCTCTTGATCCCACTGAATTGATTTGGGTGCATGAAGATCTTCCATATTAGTTGTGAGTTGCTTTAAGGCTTAACCCTGATGTTCTTCCTCTTACATTTGGCTGTTGTGATGTCTTTATGCTCAATGGATGATCTAACCAGTATGTATCAGTTCTCTGCATGAATTGAGTGATAGTGACATCACTTAGAACTTTGACAGAGAAAAAAAACACAATACAGAATATATTGGTGTTTTAATCCAGGATGTTTTACGTGGTTTCATGTTTGTCCTTCTTGCAAAAGACTAGATTGTTATAAGGAGGCCATCTTAAACAGACTTTGTCATCAGTAGGACATCATTTGTATTGGTCTTTCCCTCACCATTGTTCTCAGTACTTCCTCTTCAAATATTAGAGTCAGGGCCAACCTTGGCATTAAAGTCCACAAGAGGATGATTGCAATGAAAACTTCACCATGTTCAAAATAGAACTTTTCCTTGATACCTTCATCTGAGTCAAGGATCAGGACATAAGTGCTGATGACTGTGGCATATTGATCAGGACTAAAGTGGAGATGAGGTGTTATGAGCCTTTCATTTACGCAACTGGGGAGTCTGACAATGCACCCAAGATCCTGCTACAAAATCATCAGCATGAATATGAGGGTTACTGTCAGTATTGTCATTTCAGTAGAAGGTATATCCCACTGTCTGTTTTTTCACCTGCCCCTGCCCAGAAAGGCAGAGCTCACTAAAGGCAGTAATGTCAGTTTGGGTCTTGATAACTCACGTGATAGGATTTCAGTGCTTCTTTTCATATGGTGAGACCTGAGTCATTCACGAATGTTCTAACATTCCAAGTTTCAAAATGTAGAGTTTTATTTCTTTGACCATAAAAATCATGATCCAGCTGGAGGTAGGTTACGGGAAAAAGTGGGTCAGAGGATATGCTGAAGGGATATTCTCAATTACAGATGCTGCCACCCAGAAATTCTTCTGTCCCAACACAGGTGCTGGTGGAGAGGTTTATGTGCTCTGACACTCCTTTGAGTGTCAGGACCCCCTTGCTCCTGGTAGGGCCAGGAGAGTTACCAGATAAAGAGCAGCCCAAAGGGACTTGAATAACAGGATAGGTGTAGGAACACTGTGCGTTTTGCTGACTACAAAGACAAAGGAAGCTAGTCCTGGTCATTCTGGCTTGACATGTCACTGAAATCTGATCACCAACCTGTCAAGATTACATGCAAAATGAAGGTGCCCAAGGTCCCCATATTAAACGAATTCATATGCACGGTTGCACCAGAGTCCATTTGCCAGTCCTGTGATGATGGTGACTTGGTGACAGGGCCAGATCTGAGAACTTGACAGTTCCTGTTAGGAATCTGGACATGATTGATATATATTCACTGCTGTGTAGGGTACCATTGCCACATTTGCGTTAGTAGCTGGTGATATATGTTTATTTTTTGCATGTTGCTTATTATTATTGGAACTATTTCGCACACACTAACTGCTTGTCATACATGAGGGCTGCCTCCATTCCTCCCTGCCCATGTGTTACTCAGAAACTTTCATTCCAAAATTTCAATGCCATTTACTATAGTTTGATTCTTTCCTGTATCAAAAATATCACATCAAAGCTTGATGGGCCTTTTGTCATGATTGCTTCATTTACCTACCTAGCTGCCAATAATTGCGCTTCAAAATGATTCATTGTGCTGCTGAAACGGATACCTAGGCTATACTGTTTTTATGCCAGTCCTATTTATTTTATATCCCCCATAAAAAGTATTTTAGAGAGACATGTCACATCTTTTATATAACTGCAACTCTTTCTTCCACAGAGTTCTAATGAAGGATCATCTACCTGAAACACGACTTGTTTCATTCCACAGATGCTGCCTGGGTTGCTGAGATTTTCATGGGGTTTTTGTGTTCTATTTAATGAATCCAAATTCTCCCACACTCCAGTGTATAATTACTCTTTATCCTAAGATCTTTCAACCACTCAATGTTCTGATGGGCAAGAATTTAAACTAGGCTCAACCCCTTTAAGTAAACAGGTAATATCATCGAGTATAAAGGTTACTGACAGACTGTAAAGCATGTGTCTTTATCTCCAAGCACAATTAGCCATAGTATTATATAGACATGGATTCATTTGTCTTTCAAATGGCTCTAGAGTTATGCAATTTGATATTTTTCATATTTCTGTGCAGTGTGGTGAAGATTGATCGAAGTGAAAACATTCCCTCGCCATTTAAAAGAGCAGGTAACAAACCACCAGCAGACCTATATTTAGACGCGGCTGATTTGAATATTTTTGTCTAATTGAAATCACTGTAGGGGACGCTGCAGTTTTCTTTCAGCCGCGTTGTCGCTTCATTGCACGTCTTCCCAGGCAGAGTTTATGAGTCCTATTTGCTGAAACGAGTGAATACGCTAGCTAAAAGCTGAACATCCGTACAGCATGAAGTGATTATTACTGTCCTCGAGCGTTTAAAGAGCGTTGCAATTGTGCGTTATTTACTCCCTAACTTGAGAATGCAAAGCAATAAATGTGTTGGAACTAATACCGGACAATGCTCCTGCACTAGAAGTATTCACTTCAGGGAAAGTGAAAGCTATATGACGCTGACATCAAGAGGCGATTCATCACTTTTACAAGATTTCTTTTTGTGAGTATTCCATTTACCAGTCTTGTGTGCACTGCAATGGCCCAATTTTCTATCAATCGCATTGTCTTCGTAAGAGAACTGTTTTAGACCCTGAATTGAGAGGCGAAGTTTCCAACCTGTTAACCCTTTGATGTATCACGAGGAACTAATTCCTTGGCATCCGTTAGTTAACTGTTTTGGGAGAAATGTCCAACAGTGAGCTCGAAACATGGTCGGCAATGGACTAGTTGGGCCAGAGGGTCTGTTTCCATGCTATATGACTCTGTGACTGTATAACAACTCATTTCTCGTTTAATGGTGTGTGTTTTTAGACAGCCAGATATCCCGGTCTATTTACATATACAAAAGCGGGATAGGTAGATAGCAATGGATAGACAGTATCGTTTAGAAGTATGCAGTTCTGCATTAACCAATACAATGTGGAAATGATAGAGAACTTATTTTATGCAAATATATGTAAAGTAAGGCAGACCGTTGTCGTCAGAGTACCCAACAACGATACCACACGATTTATAACGTAGGTAACTACCCGCCAGCCGAAGCTGCTTAAAATGTAACGCTTAAAACTGATTTTTCTCGAGTATCTTCCTGAAATCTGAAGAAGCTCTCGAACATGAATCTGTCCTGTTTGTTCGGCTTGGAAGTCTTAATAAAACTGTTGCAATCGCAGCATCTCATTGAAGTCGACAATCAGCAATTCTGAGCGTTTTCATCTGCAGCTGTTTTCTGGTGTACTGTTCCTCTTCAGTATAGTTGGTCCTTCATTGTATTGTTCACTCCGTCTATTAATAACTAGCCTTTTTAAAACAAACGATCAGGTGTTGACTACAGAACGATATTTTCCGCTTCTGTGTTATTGAATGCAGTTACAGATCAAGTCATTCATTTCAATTATCTGAGATTAGGAAATGTCAACTTCTCAACTCAGTGTTAATTTCTATTTAATTAGGGAAAATCGAAGCGCTACACAAGAAATGATATCTTAACTGCACATAATTCACAACATAGGAACAGGCCAATACAGGCCAATATAGTAAAATAAAGAACTGTCCATAAAGTGATAGAGTCATACAGCATGGAAACAGACCTTTAGTTTAGGTCCGACCAGTCCATGCCAACCTGCCTGCACTTGGCCCATATCCTTCCAAACATTTCTTATTCATGCACTTATTCAAATGTCTTTTAAATGTTGTAACTGTACCTGATTCCATCACTTCCCCTGGAAGTTCATTCCACACAGGAACTACTCCCTATTTATAAAAGTTGCCCCCATGTCTTTTTAAAATCTTTTTTCTCTCACCTTAAAAATATGCCTCTTCATCTTGAAATCCCCAACCATAGAGAAAAGACACCTGTCATTCACCTTACCTATATCTCTCATTATTTTATAAACCTCTATAAGGTCACCCCTCAACCTCCAATGCTCCGGTGAAAGAAGTTCCAGCCTATCCAGCCTCTCCATATTACTCAAACCCTCCATTCTCAGCAACATCCTGGTAAATCTTTGCCAAACCCTCTCCAGCTTCATAAAAGCCTTCCTATAACAGGACGACCAGAACTGGACACAATACTCCAGAAGAGTCTGCTCCCCCTTATCGAAGACTTCGCATTCTGGATCACCCCACAAGGGAAACATCTGCTGCACATTTAATTTGTGAATCCCCTTTAGCATCTTTTATCCCTCAATTAGATCTCCTCTCATCCATCTAAACTGTAGCAATTATCGGCCTAGATTCTCAATCTCTTCTTGATAAGGCTTTCATTTTTTAAATTAATCTAGTGAGACTCCTCTGAACCTCCTCCAATACAGTTATATCCTTCCTCAAGTAAGGGAGCCAAAACTGTACACAGTATTCCAGATACAATCTCACAAATGCTGATACAAATTCCAATAATACTTGCCTATTTTTATACTCCATTCTTTGAACAATGCCAAGATTCCATTTTTACCTGTTTATTACCTGATGTACCTGCATGTTAACTTCCTGTGATTCACACATGTGGACAGCCAGATCCCTTTAAACTAAAGCATTTTGAAGTTTTTCTCCATTTAAATAATTTGCCTTTTTATTCGTCAAACTAAATTGGATAACCTCACAGTTATCCATGTTAAAGCCCAGCTAACAAATTTTGGCGCATTCACCTAACCTATCCAATACCCATTTGCAATTTACTTTCCCACCTATGTTAGTGTCATCTGCAAATTTGGCTATGGTGCATTGTATCCCTGCATCTAAGTCATTAATGTATATTGTTAATAGTTGGGGCTTGAGACCTGAGCACTGTGACACCCCACTAGTCACAGCTTGCCAACCAGAAAAAGGCCCATTTATCCTGACTATCTGCTTTCTGTTGGTAAGCCAATCCTCTTTCCAAGCAAATATATTAACCTTAACCCAAAGTGAGCTCACATTGTGAATTAACTGTTTGTGTGACACCTTATCTAATGCCATCTGAAAGTCCAGATATACCACATCTACAGGACACCCTTTATCCACTTTGTCTGTTCAATCTTCAAAGAACCATAGCAAATTAGTCAAACATAATTTACCCATCAAAGAACCATGCTGAATCTGATTAACTGAGTTTGGACTTTCCAAATGTCCTTTTACTACTGCCTTGATAATTGATTCCAACACTATCATCTAACACAGTAAAATATTATAATTTTTTCTCCCTCATCTTATTAAACTCATCCTTAATGCATCTACTTTATGTAGTGGCAAGTTCCAAGTTTAAACATGGTATATTTTATTCAATTTATTAGTAGTAATCTTATAATTGAGCCTTCTATCTTAGAATCTTCTCCAAATGGAATCATCTTTCTTACATTTACCTCTTCAAATCTTTCCATAGTCATAAAGTTTTCTCTTAGGTTACCCAACAGCTTTCTCTATTCTAAAGAAGAAGTACAGGCTGTTCTGTGGGTTTAAACATCAATGATTCACATTCACAGGAAAATAAGCCATGATTTAGAGGAACTGAGATACAAAGGCAGGTCAGTTTCATGGGAGTGAGATTGTCTTTTATGCATTGTTCACTTTGAAGATAGTTGTTACATTCATTCCAAGATGGTATAACTTGCACACAGAGACTGTTAAACTCACTTTGATATGTTACTGCAGAGCATGAGAACGAAGAGCAGAATTCAGTCCATGAATATTTGGAATTAAACGCAAGCAGGAATGTAAAATTTGTGTCTTGTTTACCCCACTTTAAAAGTTGGCTTCCTTAATTTTACAAATTTAGCAGGAGAAGAATGTGACAAATATTGGAATCTGAATGTGGACTGTAATTGCTATACATCTGAAAAATGCTAATGTTAAGGAAATACTTATATTTCAGTTCAATATAAAGAACGAAAAGTATTCTATGAAAATGTCAAACAGAGACAGAATATAAGAAGGTGGCTGAAAGCTGAGCTGTTTGGTTTAGAGGTTTGCAGCCTGGAAGGAGAAGTATGGTTTTCTGATGTATGAGTGCCTTCTGCTGAAATTCTGCCTCAGGTATGTCAGCAAAGGCATTAACCAATTCGTTAAAAATAAAATCAGGTCAACATTTTTGTTCATAAACTGGCATGCAGTCATGACTTTAATCATAAATTGTTGCTTGTGAAGCTTTTGAGGTCACGTTACATGGTGTTATTTAAAGACAGTCTTCTTCAAATTCACATACTGCAGTTTAATTTTAGTTCCATTAACTTTGTATTTATTACTAATATATTTAATTATTGTAGAGTATAAACTACATTTACATTTAGGTGTTCCATACTTTTGAGATTTTTAGAAAAAAGTGTTTGTTTTGAGGTATTTATTGAAGATTGTTACTAGAAAATGTCAGCCATTTTTAAAAAAATATCCTCACTCTCCCTCCTTACACCATTTTCTTGTGTGGTCTACTTACAGGTCAATTCTAGTTTGGCTCTTAAAATCAGCAATAAGAAGCAGCCAAGAGTGAAATTGCAGTTAGTGGGGTGCTACTGAGTTGCTAATCTCAATTGCATTTTCATAGGAATGGACTAAGCACAAACCACGGTAGATTTTAGGAACTAGATAAGAATTAGTGCTTCAACTTAATATTCCACCATGCGACTAAATAAAATATTTTTCTTACCGAATTTTACAAAATCTTGTCATCAACTCCTTACTACAGATTACCCCACTCCAGACTAGAAATTACTGTTGGTGATAAAGACAAATGAACAATTCTTTGTAAAATTCTTCTCTTAAATAAATGGCATTTTAACCGAGTTGGTGGCTTCAATATACACAGAGTGAAAGATTAGAAACAAATCTTTTAAACATTTATATAAAATCATCATCCATAACAGTTCTAGACTAGGCTTATTTTCATTTCCTTAAAATTGTTATTGAAGTTTTTGTTTCATTTATACATTGAAAAACATTTATGCTATACTAAAAATTAATGCAATCATAGATTTAGCAGAATTTCTGCAATAAGTCATAATTTGAAATGAATTTTCATGAGTAGTTTAATGGAAAACCAGATGTACTTTTGTGAGCTTCATCATGAGAAAAAGAGTGTGACCCACATCAAAGTGTAGATCTTATCAATCTCTAAATTAATGCTGAGGAGCATCAACAATTATAAAAACATACTGATCCATAATGAATGGGGCATTCAGTTAAGAATTCCACATTGAAAATCCATTGCATTAGCATTTCTTTTTGAAGATTATTTATTTGGAAAATATTATACTAATTTTGGAATTCCAGAACAGAAAAGTTGTAAGCCTATCGTGTCTGAGCTGATGTCAGCTCATCAACTGGAGTTTATCTTTCTAACTCTTCCCTGCCCTTCCTCAAATTCTGTGATACCTTTTTCTTCCAAATACTTATCCAATCGCCTTTTTAATTAATATACAATGCCTGCCTCAAAATTATTTGTGGTAAAGATTTCTATTTTCAAAACGCTAATATTTCTATAGTTTCATAAAATTCAGGATGGATCAAACAGATTATAAGAATGGTTTCTTCTTC